ATAATTTTTCTTATGTTCTACATGTTATTGTGTATGTGAACGTTAATTTTCTATATAATCAAATTTCTCTGGTCGTTTTTCCTTTACCTTTTGCATTAACTCCTTGAAACGATTTCTGAAGTCGGTTTTATTCAAAAGATCTTTTCTTGATGTTTGATTCGTAAGTTAAACCTTCCTACAGATTATAAAGATGTCGTTTACAAGGAAAGCTATCCTTAGAAGAACTCAGAAGAAGTGCACATCATCGTGAGTTATTTTTCTCTTCCTTTTACTGACTCTTTCTTTTAGCCTTTTTTATTCTGATATAAAGTTTACTATGCCAGACATTTAAGAAGAAAATTTGGGCTTCTTGTAAGGCACAAGAATTGTATGAAGCGCGCACAAGCCTATCTCCAAAATTTGCAGACTATGCTTGTAAGTTTAATTTTGACACAAGTAATCTGTTTACTCTCGTTTCTCTGTTTTTAATGTCCTTCCAATGGTCAATTTAATATCTGAAAGGGCAGTATTTATACAGTTGATAAATCAGAGGGGGCATTGTGGGAAAGAGTGATAATTTGGTGGGGTGGAATGGATTGTATTCTGAAAATTAAAGAGAACCTCATAGGGGATTCATTATATCTAATGCAGAAATTTCTAAAGCTAAATGCCTACCTGGATGAGCTAAATGACAAGACTGACGTGATACTTGCCGAGATGCGAGAGATAAAAGCCGAACAATAAGAGTTGAACGCTGAAGAGGAAGAGGTAATTGCCGAACTGGAAACCACGGAAAGCGAAATAAAAGAATTAGAAAAAACATTTGAAGATATGTTGCAGGTACCATTTCGACCATGTATTTGATAGTGGATGGATGAATTGAGGTTTCAACTTTTAGTTTTCATTCATATTTTTATACTACAATTTTTATGTCATTACAGAAACACATGGAAGAGGCAATTGCTAGTGACCTGATGAATTTACCTGAGGATAGAGCCCTTACAGAAACTAAAGAAAATGGCAGCTCTTAGACATTGAATAGACATCATGGTTGGAGCAAATCGATACACACACACATATGAACATTACATTTGCTTGTGCAATTTAACGATTGGAATTATAGGAGCAAGGAATAATTTGGTATGAAATATTATCTTGCGTGATTTGAACTGTTATTTTTATCTTTGTTATTTGTTTTTTCTAGTGCTCTGAAGTGTTATTCTTCAACAATACTTATTAATTATTCATTCATAACCTTCCCTTAAGAGTTCTATACAAAACTGTACCTAATGGCCATTATTTCTCCTTTAACTCCTGTTCTTGTACTCCTTGAAAACCATCAACTAACCCCTAAAAATTCCAACACTCTAATCGCTTGAAACTACAGTTTTCCTAATACTCTTTCTGGTGTATAATCTCAAGGAAACAGCTTTTTTGCTTTCATGCATGTCGAATTTTCTAATTAGTATTTGAACCGATGTTTTGCGAATTTAACTCTTCATCTGGTGAAATGGAGTTAAAATGATTCTGTTGTGGCTTCTATATGTTTCCAAGTAAACTGGGATACAGAATTTGGTTATAATAATATGCATGCTTTGTTTACTTGTTTTAGGTTAGTGAAAATAATTTGACAATAACCTTAATTCTTGAGTTAATTATACATCTGCGAGGGTGTAACTATTTGGAAATTTCAATGACAATTTGGTGCTTTCTTTTGAAAGCTTGCAGAATTTGTTGCACATGCGCATTAGAATCATGTGGTCTCACCCTGGACGCATATGGATTATCCCAAATGGATAGGATCTACATGGCCCTATCACAGTAGCATAAGCATATTATTGTTTCTGCATATTAAATTTAGCGTTATAAAATAATTATACTCTAACAATATTGCGCGGCTATACATTGTAAATTAATATAGTTGAAGCAAAAATACTTCAATTTTTCAATCAATTTGCAGAAAAATTGTAGTCAGAAAATCTTGTACTATTTGAAAATCAAAGCCATTTTTTAATTCCTCAAAACTATTAATTTGATTTTTATATTGTATCTCAATTGTGATTTTCCCTATGTCATAATGCTCATCTCTTTTGGCCACCAACAATGAATAGCTTGTTAAGATTTGGGGTCCATCTCAATAAGGTCAACATTTATTAAGAGGAGTGTCCCAATCCTTTATATATTGGTCATTGTTTCGGTATTTTACCGATGTGGGATTATATTCCCTTAACATGCCCCCACAAGATGGTGGCTCGTTTGAGCAGATCAATCTTGAAATCCGTATGCTCATTTTTAGAGACTTAATCGGATCGAATCGCTCGTTGGAGCTTAATGGGCTCTGATACCATGTTAAGACTTGGGGTCCATCTCAATAAGGTCAACCTTTATTAAGAGGAGTGTCCCAATCCTTTATATATTGGTCATTGTTTCGGTATTTTACCGATGTGGGATTATATTCCCTTAACATAGCTCTCATCCTCTCTAAGTTGAAGCTACATCCAAACAAAATTGTAAGAAAAAGCAAAATACAAACAAATCTAAACAAAATACAGTAGCTTTTCAATATTATAGATCCTTCAAAACTCCGCTAAAATTTATATCTCTCAAAAGCTTCTTTAACAAAGCAGAACCCTCATCTTTGCCACTAACAAGAAGTGACGAATTAGGATCAACCATTAGCGCTCGACTCTTTAAACTGAACTCAGAAGGCAGTGACCACATATGTGAAATTTTATCCTTTTATGTGATCTTAAAAAATAAAATAAAATAATAATAATAATAATAATTGATAGTAAAAAAATTGGTGGGTCACATGACCAACCATGCCCCAACCCCGATTTGAAAGTGCTGAAGGATAAAACAATAGCTTGCATTCTTCCTATATGGTGCTTGATTATTGCACAACAAAATTGTTTTTGATTGTATAAAGCTAAATGTAATTATGTAAAGTGAAATACTAAAAATCACTTCATTCGACAGAAATACCAAAAATTGCTTCTTCATTCAATAGAAAACTATAAGTCACTAAATTTTTTTCTTGTATATTTAGACACTTTAGCATGCACAATCATCTCACTAGAGCATTTCGCCACATAGTCGGTCACCGGAAAAGAAAAACATAAAAATTAATCATGTGAACATTTTTCAATAAACCTATAAAGGGAGATCTTATGAGTTAGATAATCGAATTCCATACCGGATGATTTCGAACATAAATAAAGATCGCATATAAAAATATTCATACAGATTCATAGTAAGAACTAAAACATGAAACATGCAAAAAAATTTCGATGTCAAATTACTTGAACGTTCCGATAATTCCTCTTCGTCTATAATTTCGATGCATTCTTTGTTTTTTTTTTCCTTTTTTTTTAATAAGATAAAAAACACATTGTTAATTGCCTTTACACACCATCTTCTTTTTATCTAGATATCTTTCCATTCGGATTGTCTTTCTTGCCCCAAAAGATGACTTTTTAAGTGGGACAGAAGGAAAATCACCTCGATGTCGGCTCTGCCGTTTGGAGTTTTAGCATATTCCGAGGGTTGAATTGTTTACCATTAAAATGGTACGTATATTGTGAATTTGGTTTTTCTGAATACGACATTGGAGTAGTAGTGTATCTAATAAATGTATAATGCTGAACCACCTTGTTTCAAAGATTGGAGGCGTGCGTGTGTGTGTGTGAAGAAATTTAGAGCCTGTTTTGTTTTGAGCCACACGTTTCAAAAATTTCTATTACAATCTATTAAATCTGTATTCATAATTTGTTTGTTGAGGAATTCAAAAGTCATTTAGAAGATTAAGGATTCTTTTGGCTTCATTTATGTTTATACTTTTGGTCCTAGTAAAAACTTTATCTAAAAACTTTTCTAATCACACAAAGTACTTTCAAAAAATTATTCATACAGACTTAAAATTAACTTCTTAACATCATAAGTAACTTTTTTTATTTTCACTTAAGGATTTTAGATTTGTGTTCCAATTCAAAAGGTTAACCATTAACATTTCTAACTAACTCAAGTCATTATATTTTAGTTAGTGATTTTATATGACTTTTGTGAGATTTTATCCTTAAAATACTCCTCGTATGGTGGTGGTTATTCTGAAAATATTAAACTTGAAATTTGATAGTCATTTAAGCTTCTAAACAAATCAAATCACACATTTAAACATTATCGGCTCTCATATTATATTATGTATTACGATTCTATCTTAAAATGTCAAACTTGTCAAGATAATTAGCCCAAAATCATGTTGGTTAGTATTTCCATATTGCTAAATATGTCACACCATAGTTTTTAATTTGATTTTTTACACATTATCACATTTATGTTTCAAACTTTTTTTT